GTATATACATATATACACACACATGCACACGCAGTGGAGTGCAAAAGTCGGTGCAGAGTTGCAAAAAATAGAAAACATACACACAATACTAATTGTGTATTAATTATCCATCCATCCATTTTCTGATCCGCTTTATCCTCACAAGGGCCGCGGGGGGTGCTGGAGCCTATCATGGCCGTCTTCGGGCAGTAGGCGGGGGACACCCTGAACCGGTTGCCAGCCAATTGCAGGGCACAGAGAGACAAATAACCATCTGCGCTCACACTCACACCCAGGGACAATTTAGAGTGTTTAATCAGCCTGCCATTCATGTTTTTGGAATGTGGGAGGAAACCGGAGTACCCGGAGAAAACCCACACAGGCCTGGAGAGAACATGAAAACTCCACACAGGAAGGCCAGAGCTGGAATTGAACCCGGTACCTCTGCACCGTGAGGTCGAAACGCTGACCACTGGGCTACTGGGCCACCCACCCGTGTATTCATTATAAAGTCATTAAATATTACATGAAAAATACATTCTTAATATATGTCACTAATTTCATCGATGTGATACTACTGTATACCCAATTTTGCACCCGTAAAATTGGATCGATAAACACTGTGTAGATACTATACAGCACAGGGATCAAAGTCAAGGCTCAGGGGCCAGATCTGGCCTGCCACATCATTTTATGTGGCCCACGAAAGCAAATCAAACATGGCAACAACCATGATGCTTGCTAAAATATGTATCAAAATTTAAAATTCTCATATGTAATAAATAAGAGACACTGTAAGCATTTTGTTGTGTTTTTGTTTTTCATGTTGAGTGGTTTTTCCTTGTCTTTTTATCACAAGAGTTTTCATTTGCAATTTCCCTTGTCATTTGCAAGAACTTTTTGTTATCCTCAGTCTTATCCTGGTAATTTTCTTACCAGCGTTCTATGTTGTACTTTATCGGTTGTGTGACCTTATTTTGTAACTGAAGCATTTTTATGTTAGAATTTATTTTGGTATACGTTTGTGGGATCCGCTGCTATTCCGGATTAGTCAAACACACCAATCGGCTGGAAGTAGACGTCTCATACGCAGTGAAGTTATTTGGCGGGCCTCCTGCAGATATGAGCGGCAATTCAGCTGAATCTGCCACCGAAAGTGGTTTCAGTGAAGTTATTAATCGCGTCTGGAACGCTCTTGACGTTGCCAGACGAGAATTGGCGGTGCGTATGGACGACAATAATGTATTGCGAGCCACAAGAAGCGCTTTTCGGAGACGAAGAAGAGCAGGCCCGACGGCAGGTAGGCTAACTTTGACTAATCTTATTGGCTCTATAAATGTTGCTATTGCGTGAGTTTCAATGTTATGAATAATACGATATGAGTTTCAATCAATGTTATGAATAATACGATAAAAATTAAATAGTTTTGGCCATATGCCTTTTATTTGGTTCTGTGTAACTGAGCGTAAGTATATAATAATGAGCGAGGAATCGAAGATTATTTGCCCGAACGTCTTTGGCTATTTTGAGATTAGAATACCTGTCCCCAATTTGCTGAAGGTACGATTGACAGTTGCATATTCTGTTCCTGTATACAGAAACGCAAGCACGTGTTCGTGGGATACACGGAGTCTGGAGAGTAAGGCTATTCCTGTTGCCGAATTCCGATCATCTTGCACTCCCGCCTCATTCGGAATGCTGCAAACTGACCAGAATTGGTTTGGGTAATGCACAAATGACAGTTTTTCACAGTGAAATTGTATTTTTACCCCCCACCCCCATTTGTTACTGTTATTGCTTCATTGGATGTGTAGTCCTGAACTGGTTGCCAGCCATATCACTACTGTTCAAAAGTTCGGGGTCACTCAGAAAATCCTTATGCTTTAAAGAAAATCAATGCTTGTTTGTATTGTTTAAAAATAAACACCAGCAATGTCAAGATTGGTATTTCCAATTAACTTAATGTTATTGTCATTGATAAAACGCTGGGTAAGGGTATAAGTGACCTCAAACGTAGGAACAGTACATACCCTTGTGCTTTTATTTTTAAAATGATTTACATATAAAATGATGCTCATGTTTGATTTTTCTTTTTTTCTGGGGGATGGGTATTTATTTTCCAGGGATCCCAAGTCATGATCTGCAAGGGACAAACTCCCCCGAGTGTTATGCACAACTTTCATGGAGTCTCGCAGAGTTTAATAATTACATTTGTCAAAGCTTCCCATCAGTTAGCCTAAATGTTATTGGATTTCATCTCGCAAGAGCTGATAAGTCAAGGCGTCTGACTAGAATTCAGGCAAACACTTTAAAGGACCTCAAAACAGCAGTTGGCAGAAGCAGATTATATATTCTTCCCCAGACCAATATTACACTGCCGTTAGAGGTTAGTCTTTGTATTGATTAAACATTCCTTTTGGATATTAGCACTCTGACTGATTAATAAGAGTTTGTCTTGTCAACATAGATCGCTGAATTTGAAAATACTCACGCTGTACCAGAGACATCCCAGCCAACTGAACACGAGAGCCTTCCCCAGTATTTTTCTCCTCCACTATCCACAACACTGATGGCTTCACCTACTGCTACCTCAACAGCCACCAGACCTGAGGTCTCACCCAGTACTCAATCTCGACCCCCTGCATCATCAGGTATCGTATCTCTGCCCTCACCTGCAGTCCCTCAGGTCATGCCCTCGGCTCCTGCAGTACCAGTTCACTTGTCATTTGTCACATCTAACAACAATTCTGATGCAAGTTCTCAGTCTTTGCCCTTCAATGCCATAGCTTTGTCTTCATCGATGAACAATGATGGAAGCTCAGCAAGCACAGGCTTGGACTCTTGTCAAGTAAGTATTTCTCCACAATGTTGTCGTTTATATTTAATAATTCAGACTGGACGCAATTGAGAGCTAAATGGTTACAATTGGAGATTAAAAGGCGCCCTCTCGGTGTACACGTCAAAAAAGACAGCTGGATGTAAGTCTAACTCTTTCCAACAGGAGCCAAGCTTAGAGTCAAGTTTGGATTCTGCACAGTGGCTCAATGCAGGGACCCCAGAGGTATATCCCCACATGGAGATTATAAATAATCTCTCATATGTTCTGAAAATATGACTGCAGACATGTTCATGTTTTCACATTATAACATGCACCATTTGTACTTTTGAAGGTATTTTACAGAGTGACATGCTTGGAATCAACGAACAGGTATTTTCTAGGTTTAGAAACATGTACCATATGTGACACGGAATTCTATTCAATTTCTGTTCTGTCCTCAGCACTTGTGCTGTGCCCTGTATATTGACAGATAGTTAAACAGCCCTTTCTTATTAACACTCTGGAGAAAGTTTTGTCCTTTATGAAGGTTTGAATATAAGAAGCTTTTTCTCCAGCAAAACTCTATGGAAAATACAGAAAGCAAATAAATGATTTGTCACTTTTACTCTACGGGCACCCTGGGTAAGGGTATAAGTGACCTCAAACGTAGGAACAGTACATACCCTTGTGCTTTTATTTTTAAAATGATGGTGGGTAAGGGTATAAGTGACCTCAAATGTAGGAATAGTACATACCCTTGTGCTTTTATTTAAAAAATTATTTACAAATAAAATGATGCTCATATGTTTGATTTTTCTTTTTTTTTTACATATAAAATGATGCTCATGTTTGATTTTTCTTTTTTTCTGGGGGATGGGTATTTATTTTCCAGGGATCCCAAGTCATGATCTGCAAGGGACAAACTCCCCCGAGTGTTATGCACAACTTTCATGGAGTCTCGCAGAGTTTAATAATTACATTTGTCAAAGCTTCCCATCAGTTAGCCTAAATGTTATTGGATTTCATCTCGCAAGAGCTGATAAGTCAAGGCGTCTGACTAGAATTCAGGCAAACACTTTAAAGGACCTCAAAACAGCAGTTGGCAGAAGCAGATTATATATTCTTCCCCAGACCAATATTACACTGCCGTTAGAGGTTAGTCTTTGTATTGATTAAACATTCCTTTTGGATATTAGCACTCTGACTGATTAATAAGAGTTTGTCTTGTCAACGTAGATCGCTGAATTTGAAAATACTCACGCTGTACCAGAGACATCCCAGCCAACTGAACACGAGAGCCTTCCCCAGTATTTTTCTCCTCCACCATCCACAACACTGATGGCTTCACCTACTGCTACCTCAACAGCCACCAGACTGAGGTCTCACCCAGTACTCAATCTCGACCCCCTGCATCATCAGGTATCGTATCTCTGCCCTCACCTGCAGTCCCTCAGGTCATGCCCTCTGCTCCTGCAGTACCAGTTCACTTGTCATTTGTCACATCTAACAACAATTCTGATGCAAGTTCTCAGTCTTTGCCCTTCAATGCCATAGCTTTGTCTTCATCGATGAACAATGATGGAAGCTCAGCTGGCAGAGGCTTGGACTCTTGTCAAGTAAGTATTTGTCCCCAATGTTGTAGTTTATAATTAATAATTCAGACTGGAGGCAATTGTGACCTCAATGGTTACAATTGGAGATAAAAAGGCACCCTCTCGGTGTACACGTCAAAAAAGACAGCTGCATGTAAGTCTAACTCTTTCCAACAGGAGCCAAGCTTAGAGTCAAGTTTGGATTCTGCACAGTGGCTCAATGCAGGGACCCCAGAGGTATATCCCCACATGGAGATTATAAATAATCTCTCATATGTTCTGAAAATATGACTGCAGACATGTTCATGTTTTCACATTATAACATGCACCATTTGTACTTTTGAAGGTATTTTACAGAGCGACATGCTTGGAATCAATGAACAGGTATTTTGTAGGTTTAGAAACATGTACCATATGTGACACGGAATTCTATTCAATTTCTGTTCTGTCCTCAGCACTTGTGCTGTGCCCTGTATATTGACAGAGTCAGTTAAAGTCCAAAAAAGTCCAGTTAAACAGCCCTTTCTTATTAACACTCTGGAGAAAGTTTCGTCCTTTATGAAGGTTTGAATATAAGAAGCTTTTTCTCCAGCAAAACTCTATGGAAAATACAGAAAGCAAATAAATGATTTGTCACTTTTACTCTACGGGCACCAATGCGAATGAACAAGAAATTAAGGCGATCCACATGCATGAATTAAATCACAATACATCTGTAGATAAATCAAAATGCAGTACATCTATGATGCAAATGGTTTGAGAGTCTGAAGTTCCAGTCTGTAATTATGATTTGGGTAATCTGATTTTTAGGACTCGTGTGGATGACGCAGACATGTTCATGTTTTCACATTATAACATGCACCATTTGTACTTTTGAAGGTATTTTACAGAGTGACATGCTTGGAATCAACGAACAGGTATTTTCTAGGTTTAGAAACATGTACCATATGAATTCTATTCAATTTCTGTTCTGCCCTCAACACTTGTGCTGTGCCCTGTATATTGACAGATAGTTAAACAGCCCTTTCTTATTAACACTCTGGAGAAAGTTTTGTCCTTTATGAAGGTTTGAATATAAGAAGCTTTTTCTCCAGCAAAACTCTATGGAAAATACAGAAAGCAAATAAATGATTTGTCACTTTTACTCTACGGACACCAATGCGAATGAACAAGAAATTAAGGAGATCCACATGCATGAATTAAATCACAATACATCTGTAGATAAATCAAAATGCAGTACATCTATGATGCAAATGGTTTGAGAGTCTGGGGTTCCAGTATGTAATTATGATTTGGGTAATCTGATTTTTAGGACTCGTGTGGATGACTTTTTTATTGATGATTCTGAAGAAGAGAGGTCAGATGATGACCTCATGGCAGTTCCTTATGAAAATGACAGTCCTCCATCAGTAAGTTAGAGCTCTTGTAAACATAACATAGGCCAAAATGTTTTTTTTTTTCAGGAGTTGTTTATGACACTGCAGTTTAAATATTCATAAGTGGAAAGAATTGTTTTGCCTCTCTCTGCCATTGTTTTGCCATTCATTTCTAATGTACTGTTCTTTTAATATACATTAGGAAGAAGTGGATCTTGCCACTATTTTGAGGACTTTTCACGAGGATCACATTTCTGGCAATCTGGTATCCACCATTTGTATCAGAAGGAGTAAGCTTCTGGAGAGTGCCATTAAAGCAATCTCCAGAGTGACTTTCTGTTGGACCCAGTCACCACACATAGAGTTTGTAGGAGAAGATGCAGATGATATGGGGGGACCACAGCGGGAGTTTTTCAGGTATGAATGCCAGTTTTAATTTTCCAGTTTCAACACAGGGGTGCTGGAGCTTATCCCTGCTGTCTTCAGGCGGAATGCGCACAGCAGGGTAATCTGATTTTTAGGACTCGTGTGGATGACTTTTTTTTTTGATGATTCTGAAGAAGAGAGGTCAGATGATGACCTCATGGCAGTTGCTTATGAAAATGACAGTCCTCCATCAGTAAGTTAGCGCTCTTTTGAAACATAACATATGCCAAAATGTTTTTGTTTTTTTTCAGGAGTTGTTTATGACACTGTATTTTAAATATTCATAAGTAGCAAGAATTGCTTTGCCTCTCTCTGCCATTGTTTTGCCATTCATTTCTAATGTACTGTTCTTTTAATATACATTAGGAAGAAGTGGATCTTGCCACTATTTTGAGGACTTTTCACGAGGATCACATTTCTGGCAATCTGGTATCCACCATTTGTATCAGAAGGAGTAAGCTTCTGGAGAGTGCCATTAAAGCAATCTCCAGAGTGACTTTCTGTTGGACCCATTCATCACACATAGAGTTTGTCGGAGAACATGCAGATGATATGGGGGGACCACAGCGGGAGTTTTTCAGGTATGAATGCCAGTTTTAATTTTCCAGTTTCAACACAGGGGTGCTGGAGCTTATCCCTGCTGTCTTCAGGCGGAATGCGCACAGCACTCTGAACTGGTTGCCAGCCAGTTGACTGCTCCAAATTGGTGTGAATGGTTGTTCGTCTCAGTGTAGCTTGTGATTGGTTGACGACCAGTTCAGGGTGTATATCGCCTACCGCACAAAGACAGCTGGGATGGGCTCCAGCACGCCAGCAAAGCAATTCATAAGATGAATGAATGGCTGAAAGAAACCCTTTTCTTTTGATTTTTATCCTAGACTCCTGATGATAGAGGTACAGACCTCCCTTGGAATTTTTGAAGGAAAGACTGCCCAGGTCTTTCTGAGTTATGACCAAACAGCTCTAGACCAGCAAAAATATTTGAAAGGTGGCAACCTTATCGCTTGGTCAATTGCTCATGGTGGTCCATGCATTAAGGCCCTGGATCCTTGCCTCTTCCAGTTGATGTGCGGCCAGGAGCCAACACTGGAGCAGTTTGACTGGCATGTGCTGCCTGACCCAGATGTGCAAAGCAAAGTCAAAAGGGTACATCATGATTGTCATTTAAAGATGTATTTGTAAAGAGTCAAACTACTACCAGTTGCTGTTTATTTCTATGAAAAGAAAGTTCAGTCTGAGACTCGGCTGCATTGTTCCCACTCTTGTCTCTCAGATTGAACAGTGCAAGACAAATGAGGACCTGATAGCACTCCAACGTGACTTGGGGGACTGGATTTCTGAGTGTGGCATCCCAGGAATATTTAGTGCCAAAGTTGAAGACATGCCAAAAATCTATGCATATGTTGTCAAGCATTACATCTATCTCAGGTAAAAACATGCAAAGGAAAGAAACATTTCAACTTTTAACTGTTACGAAATAGTGTCACTGAGGTGATGTAAATATGTAGATTTCAATCAGACCCTGCCTTGAGTAACTTATATTTTGAAATGTTAAAAATTGCAACAAGTTTTGAATCGACAACAAATCGTGATGGACAAATGAAGCTTCATGAAGTACTTATTTTTTTGACTCCTATATATGGCACACACGATCTAAATGTAGCCCCAGATTGGTTTGTGTGCGCCTATTCGGTAGTTCCGCCTACCGAATAGGCGCACACAAACCAATCAGGGACTACATAAAGATGCAGTGGAAATATATTAAATTTCCACTGCACTAGTGTTTATCTTCAAATCAAGAGTACCATATAGAAGAGTAAAAAATTATCACGAATGCTTAATTTTCCAACATTTCCGGTTTTGCAGAATCGGCAATACTAGTGTTGCTAATTCTCAAGACAAAAATAATGTTGCTCTTACAACTTACAGAGGTCCCAGCCGAATATCAGTTGGAAATTTGTTTCTCATTGATGAAACAAGCGACAGATGAAATTAAATCATGAAAAGGTGTGCGTATAGGGGTTTTCCACTTTCTGACCTGGTCATGACTGCTAAAAATGGAAAGCTATTGTAAAAACGTAATTATGACTACATACCCTACGGTCATATGAATTTGGGCCCAATTATGCGTTTTATGAAAAACTCCAAATGAATATCAGGGATTCAAAACTGTTCCAGACTAATATACTCTGCATATGTTCTCACTGTTGCATTATAGAACAGCCAAGATGATACACCAGTTCACAGAGGGAATGAATGCATACGGAAAGTTGTGGGACCTTGTCAAGAAAAACTGGATCGCTTTCTTGCCCCTGTTCACCAACATGCAGGAACCTCTGTCAAAGGCAGCCTTCAAAGCCATCCTCACTTATAATTACAGTGACAGAGGAACCAATAATCGGCAGACAGAGGAGGACACCATCTACAGCTGGGAAATGGTTTTGAATATGATTGAGGGTAACTTAATCAAGCCTTTGTTGCAGAAATTATTAAATACCTTGCACAAACAAAATGGCACACTTAGAATTTTCACTACTTTGACGGACTGATCAAAGTGCTATAGTCGGATGTTTTACCATTTGAGGACAATGTAAATGACACAAGAAAGGGTTGATAGAAACTTTAATGAAATGCAAATCTATTTCCTTCCATTATGTTCATATACCCTAAATTTGTTACACGAGGAGATGGCTGTTCAGATGTTATGTTTGATTTACTTTTTTTTTTTGTCCAATGGCAGACAAAATGGTTGAAATCAGATTTGAAGACCTTCTCGTCTTCATCACTGGGGCAGATGAAGTTCCTGTCCTGGGTTTCCGCGACAACATCTGTGTCGATTTTTATGACCAGGCGGAGGGCATGCGACGTTTGCCCTACGCGTCTACCTGCATGTTGTGTTTGTACCTGCCGAGAGGAGTTACAGAGGAGAACGACCTGCAGCAGATGCTCTCCCAGGCAATAGGCGACTCCTTGGGCTTTGGAAAGGTGTAGAGGTGCGTTTATCTCCCTTCAATAATATTTCTAATCGTTCTTGCACACACCAGGTATTTTTCCCTCAAGTCTGTTGTTTCATTGATTGCATTTTGAACATATTGCAGGTGCTCTGGACTCAGGTTAAGTTGCTGTGATATAGTTACTGGTTGTTCAAGACCCTCACTGTTTGCTTGAAACTGGTTGAGCTGTATGCCGTGTCTTGCCAAGCCAGCTTCGAGATTTTCTTGGCTGTAAGGGTCATCTCCAAAGACATTGTTGAGGGCTGTTGTTTCCTGCTCACTGTTGGCTAACATGCCCTCCATCCAAATTTGTGTTGGAGTGCGGTTGTTTGCTGTTCTCATTCTATGGTTGTTCCAACCACATTTGAATAAGCACAGTCGTTTTTCAATTTCTGGCTTGTATACAATCTGTAGTGCCATTTTGTGAATTATGTCTTCAGGGTTCAGTATTTGTTCATCTTCAAACGAATAGAACAGCGTGTAAAAGTAGTGCACAACCTGATGAAAAACATCTCTCCAAAGGCGTTCGATACGTTGATTGTGCACAGACTGGCCTGTAATGTGCCTTGCATGCTCTTGTCCGTGCAGCAGGTTCATTAAAAGAGCAACCAGAGTGTTTTCACCACCATGGTCGGATCTTACTCTGGAGGGTAACCCATACAGGCAGGTAGCTTGGACAAAATATTTCAACACTGTCAAAGCTGTGTTGTCTGTGCTGCAGTTGAGGTACGTTATTAGCCTGGAATTCCCATCAATGCCAGCATGTGTCACAAACCCCCACCTGTAAAACAAACATAAAAAGAATAATGGATTAAATACCAGAAAACAATCAAGTTTCACATCTTGTTTAAAATATCATCTCGGTAGAGATGATATTGCTGTGCACTTAAGACTACATGGAGGCAATTTGGAGTTTGTGTAACTTGGATATAAAAATGATAAAATTCAATTTAATCTGTGCTGTCCATACAATATGGCTTTCTAATGCTCCCACGAGTACAAATGTAAGATGATCCCTTATTACCGAATGAGACGCATATGCCCATCTATGTGCCATAAACTATTGGGAAATGGCACATAGTATGTTCTTCTAGCCACAGTCTGGCTCCATCTCTGGGCTGCAGCAGCTGGGTCAATACGGTTGAGGATTTCTCGAACTCTTTTTCTTTGTACTACAATACCATCAGCACGCAGGTATGCCCTCATCATCTGCAACAGGTTCATAAAACAACACAATAAAGAAAATATACTTTGACACTGAATATAATGATATATACATGAAGGGACAAGAGTATGTTGCAGAACACTTACTTCCGAGCCTGATCTGGGAAATTGGCTGTGCAATCTTCTGACATGCTCCTCCAGGTCAACATCATGAATGGGAGTAAATCTATTTCTGGCTGAAATCTGAAAGGATATACAAATGACAAAATTCTATTTAATCTGTGCTGTCCATACAATATGGCTTTCTAATGCTCCCACGAGTACAAATGTAAGATGATCCCTTATTACCGAATGAGACGCATATGCCCATCTATGTGCCATAAACTATTGGGAAATGGCACATAGTATGTTCTTCTAGCCACAGTCTGGCTCCATCTCTGGGCTGCAGCAGCTGGGTCAATACGGTTGAGGATTTCTCGAACTCTTTTTCTTTGTACTACAATACCATCAGCACGCAGGTATGCCCTCATCATCTGCAACAGGTTCATAAAACAACACAATAAAGAAAGTACACTTTCACACTGAATATAATGATATATACATGAAGGGACAAGAGTATGTTGCAGAACACTTACTTCCGAGCCTGATCTGGGAAATTGGCTGTGCAATCTTCTGACATGCTCCTCCAGGTCAACATCATGAATGGGAGTAAATCTATTTCTGGCTGAAATCTGAAAAGACTTCATTTTTTTATGCAGGTATGAAGAGGAGCAACCCAACATCCCCGCGATGGCTCTCACTGTAAAGCCATGAGTGAGGAGCAGTTCAATTTGATCCCTTGTAATGTCAAGTGCTGGTCTCCCTCGTCTACCTAAAGTATGGAAATAAAAGGATTAAGGAATTCAAGCAAATGAATCACTACGTGTTTTTATATACTATATACAGTACAGGCATATACACATACAGATGTACATAAAAGTACATGCAGCTTCAAACCCACGAGCAGCTATTTTCTCTAACCATTCTACTCAAGAAAAAAATATTTCAAAATTACAATTAAATAACTAAAAGACTACTAGTTACTGCTTAAAAGTGTATAGCCATCGTGTTACTTAATAGTCTACTGAGCTGCAGGAAAACTACTGGTATAAAACGATGTTTGACAGGGTGATTGAAGGTAAGTCACCGTAGGTCGTCAGTAAAACCCGCGTGTAGTACGAAGAAAAATACATAAAAAAAAAAAGCAATGAGAAAAAATTGTAGCCATTTTACCGGTCTGCAAACGATGTACCACATGGGAACAAACACGTCCACGATTAGGAGCGGGTCCCCATTAGGAGCGGGTCCCGCCATGATGACAGATCGGAGATCTGTTAGACTTTCAATCAAATTTTGAATAGCATCAGCGCTAAACTGGTCACTAACTCTTCTTAAATTAGCAATTGAAATGTTTATCGCGCGTGCTTCACTTTCACCGGCAGACCCTTGACGATAGGCACTCTCTATTGCCCTGCACCTTCGCCGAATACGTCTCAG